TAATCAATAATGAAAGGCATTTTATTCTATATCGCGTAAATCATTATTATTGATATATGTCCTTAGAATGGTAGAACCGTGATGAGGGTATCAAGTGTTTCAAATCTTGATAGTGAGAACCCTATTAGCACATATGGTGGCCATTCTAGAAACGTCCGTAGCTCCAGTATTATTCTGAAGTAAGGGCATAGATAATACAGTAAGGCTATCATAGTGTTGAACAACCCTATCGAAAAGTAGTGACTGATCGCACTAGTCAAGGTTGTTTGGTGACAACTTGGTGCAACACATGGGTGCTTGCTATAGGCGGATATACTACATCAAGTTCACTGGACTGACCCACCAGAGGATTCCATATGGATGGTAACCCTAGTATCTATGGAACAAATCCTTTAATGAATGGTGGTGCATGTGATCCTTAGACTTGAGATCACCAAAGCGCCTTGTGCACCGATTGGTGCAATTTGACACTAGCCTAAAGTAGTTCTATTCAGAGTTGTCAATACGATGGTGATTGGCTGCATCAAGGAGTGTATCAAGACTATGGTGGATTGACAGAGGATTCATCACTTTCGCGTATAGGAGAAGTTATCTCACGGCGCAATTCAGTATATGGCAATGACACTAAAACTGTGGCCACAGTGGGATTGACTTGTTGCTTTATCTGGATTATAATATAGGTCATTGGTCCAAAAACTTAATACATAATATCGAGAGTAACCGAAGGTTGACACTATTTCTATGCCTTCGTCTCGTCGAGATAACGTATGATGAAATGATCGAATTGTACGGTAACCATATCATTGACAGGTAGCTACTTTGCTAAATCTGAATCTATCGGGTGGCCATGATGCCTTGCTAGAGGTCAATCTTGGTCTGTGTATTAGTGAGACGATTAATTGGTGTTAATCACGATACTATACACTACCGGTATGATGAGGAGCCTATGGGTCACACACATAGAAGATAATTTAAGAGCCAAGAAGAAAGAAGGGCGTTTTCGTCTTTGTAGGCGAAAGGGTATTTTGGTAATTTTATAGTATAATTAAATTTGCTGAGGTCGTAGCCTTTATTTAATTTATTATAAAAATTAAATAAGTGAAATTACGTTTAAATATGTGTTCGTATATATTTAAATAAATTATCATTATTGTTAAATGTTAATATATATATTAAATATATATTAATTGATTTTAATTGAAGATAATGATGAATTAAAATAAATATCTAATTAGGGGGTGTTTGGAAACATGGGGTGTTTGGGTTGGAGCCCAAGCCCATTCCATATGGGAATAGGGCAAGTAAAATAATACTATAAAAGAAAAGGTGTTAATTGAAAAAAGTTAATAGTTTTCATTCATTCACTATTCATTGAAAAGTGAAAAACCCTACAGCCCCATTTTCTCTCCCAGGCCAGATTTGGTTTAGCCAAAATCAAATACTCATTTTCTTCTTTGTTTCTTAAGGCTAAGGAGGATCTAGCAAATCCCTCCTTAGTTCCTTGCGATTATCTTCGTGTGGACTATGTTGGTTCGATCCTACACTTGGGTTGGTACCAAAACGTTTAAGGACAAAGTTGGAGGAGTCTCCAAACGTGTGTAAGATTATTGAACCTTGAATCTGATTTTCTGTAGATTTAATTTATATATTGTATAAACTGTAATATTATACCCGGATCTTGGTTCTAAGGAACGATACATGTCATTTTTGTTTTTGTTTTGTTTTGCGTAAGTGGGTCATTCACTAACAGTGGTATCAAAGCCTTGGGTATTAATTTCTACAGTTTATTGTATGACTTATAACATGTATTTGGTTGATAACATGTCATTTTTGAAAAATCTGCAAAAACTACAAAATCAAAAAAATCTATTTTTGGATGAATGATTCAAATGATAAAATGGTTTATAATGTGTTGATGGATGTTATATTAGTTAGTTGATATCTTGGTTGAACGTGTGTGCGTTCGATTTGATTTGGATTCGTGTTATTACACAAAAACTGCAAAATAACGCGAACTGTTCATATTAGGGATTTCCAGGTTTTGTCACGGCGAGTGCTCTCTGGAATTTTTCACCCTGGCAAAGATAAGACCTTCGCCGCGGCGAAGTCTGTAGATTTCCCAATTCTGTATTTTTCGTGAAGGGACCAATCTACAGTTTTTAATAACCTATAAAGCCAATAATCATTCTGCACATAAAAGAGGGTAATTAATTAATAAACCCACCCAATTCAAAAATTGATTGTTTTTGAAATGTATGCAATGTACTTGTTTGTATATCGCATGGTGCCCGGTACGTGAGCCTTAGACCTAAGATTGAATGTTTTAAATTTCTGGGTATGTATGGTTGTAAATTTATTAAATAGGGTCTGCATGTCTTGCCTTTCTCTTCTCCTTAATGTACATTCTCTTCTCATCTCATTCCCCTCGAACGTAAATCGAGGTTTCTAAATTTATTGATGTAAAGAATTTTTATAATTATTCTTATTGTAAATTTAAATGATATTTTTGTAATGTACTTGAAGACGGACCAAAGGACGAGGTAGCCATACTTGAAGACTCAAGATATTTATTACAGGAACCCTAGGTGACCCATCGATTCCTCTAGGCTCGAGGAAATCGGTTTTAGTTGGGCCATGTACCGGCACATTTTAATATTGTGTTTAGAATGCATGCTAAGGTTGAATGTTGAATAACATGCCAAACAATGTCATTCTAACAAAGATAATAAACCTTAGCATGGGTCGGTAGCAAAACGTTCAAGGACAAAGTTGGAGGAGCCACCAAACGTGCATAAGATTATTGAACCTTGAATCTGATTTTATGTAGATTTAATTTATATATTGTATAAACTGTGATATTATACTCGGATCTTGGTTCTAAGGAACGATCCATGTCATTTATGTGTTTGTTTTCCGCTGTGTAAGTGGGTCATTCACTAACACAAGGTTCTCTAATTTGATAGGGGAGGAGAATATTGGAGCTCAGAGTTTGATGTATATCTTAAGGAACGTGGGATTATATCTCAACTCAAACCTCTTAACACACCTTAACACAATGGAGTGTCTGAGAGGAGGAATCGAACCTTGTTGATTCGATCAATGATGAGTTTTACAAATTTACCCACATCGTTTTAGGGCTTAGCCCTAGAGGCTGCAACATATCTCTTTAGTGTTCTAGGATACTTAGTGTAGGACCAAGTCGCCAACCTTTAAGACCCTAGTTTGGACATTCTTGTTGTAGTGTCGAGCCACCGTTTGCTGATAGACAGTGTTGCAAGTGAAGGTCTAATCTCTCAGTTCATCAATGGTGTCAAGGTTATGGTAAAGTTGTTGCTCATTGGTGTCTTCATCCATCCATTGTAGTTGAGTTGAGGGGATCGATACTTCTGTGGGGATGATTGCTTCTGAACCATAGGCCAAAGAAAAAGGAATTTCCCCCATTGAGGATCGAGCCATGGTATGGCAGGAACATAGTACCTTGGGGAGGTCATCCGCCCAAGCTCCCTTGGCTTTTTAGAGTCTTCTCTTCATTGTTTGAATGATAGTCTTGTTGGATGACTCGGCTTTTCCATTTGCTTTGGGGTAGCATGGAGTGGAGAAACTTAGCTTGATCTCCCACATTTTGTAGAAGTCTTGGAAGCCGAAGCTTATGAATTGGGACCCATTGTTGGTGACTTCTCCTTTGGTAGGCTGAATTGATATATGATGTTCTTCCGAACGAAACTTTTTACCTTTCAGTCCCTGACTTGGGTGAAAGGAAGTAGTCAGTAATCACCATGTAGACTTGTTGTTTTGGCGCTGTTGGAAGCTTTCCAACTATGTCTATCCCCCACTTCATGAATGACCAAGGGGTGAGGATGGAGTTGAGCCGCTCAAGGGAAAGGTGTGACACTTGGAAAAATCGTTGGCAACTATCACAATGTCTAGAATAGTTGGCGAAGTCGTCGCGCATTATGGGTCAATATTAGCTGTTCCATAGTATGGTTGCCACACTCACCTTCACGGAGCTCAACAAGTACATACTTTGCTTCTTCGGGGGTGATGCACTTGAGATATGGACCCGAGAATGACCTCTTGAGGAGACAACTATCATGGACAGTGAACTAAGCCACTTTGGCCTTTAATCAACATGCTTTGTTCTTGTCGATTGAAAGCTCATCATTCTCCAAGTAATGGAGGATGGGTGCCATCCATGAATCGTTCGAGCTAACTGGTGAAACTTTGACCGAACTCGTCCTAATGGATGGTGATTAGAGATAGACCAAAGGGATTGATTATTTTTGGACATAAAATTTTGTAGCTAAAAACCTCTTTTTTTCTGGGACGAATTTTTTTTGTCTCTAATTGTACAAAATTTTGAAAACTTATTAGAGACAAAATATGATTTTGTTATAGATTGTAAAAAAAACATTTTTAGGGATGAATTCAGTTTTGTCCTAGAATTGTCATTTTAGGGGACGAAATTATAATTTTGTCAAAAAATGTTTAACACTCAATTTGCATCCCATGCTAACAATGCCATTTGGAGGGAATGATGAAATAATATGGAGGGAAATCATTCTGGATGAAATTTATTATTTTTTGACGAAAAATTTTGTAGACGAAATTTTTTTTCTCTAATTGTTCAAAATTTGAAAACTTATTAGGGACGAAATATGATTTTGTTCTCGATTGTGAAAAATACATTTTTATGGATGAAATTTGAAAAGCTAATTAGGAATGAAACATTATTAATTCTAGGTAAATGTAAAAACACCCGATTTGTTTTCTGTTTCAATCTCCTGCTCCGAAATTGATTGAAGCCCAAGATAAAAAATTGAAAATTAAATGGGTGAATGAGGATCGACTAAAAATGGCGGGAAGGCATGGCGGGTACCTTTGAGGATCCTGACATGCTTTAACAGGTCGTCGTTCTCCTCTTTCTCTTCATTTCGCTGTTTGCTTCACCCACTACCAAAAAAAAAAAAAAAAATAGAAAAAAAAAAAAAAAAGAGCGACAGCAACACGTTTTGGAAAAAAACATCCATTTGCTCCCCGCCCAAAATTTTCCAAAACTTTCATCCCCAAACACCCAGGACAACAAAAATGGCCTACATAGCATGTGAAATCCCTAAATTGAAGTTAACTAAAATGAGAGGATGTGATAAGTGAGAACCTTAGAACATGGAATCCGTAAATCCCAAATATCCCATCTCTCTTTGATACATAGCAATCTCGACGCTGACCACAACTCGTCGTTCCCTTCGTTGAAGACGATGACTTTCTTTCCAATCTAAGCGAATCACGATTCTAGAGTCACCACGAGGCCACGAGTGGGGGTGTAATCTGTTTGGGTTTTTGTGGCTTTAGTCTCTGACTTCTTCAAAGGTATATTTCCTAAATCTTTGATCTCTATTTGATGGATTAAGACTGTTTTTGTTTTGATTAATTTTTGTTTGGGTTTTTGTGTTGTTGGATATTGTTTTCGTTCTCTTTTGCCTTTCTTTGTTGGTGTGTATTTTTAATGAAATTTGGTGTTGGGTTAAGTCCTGCAACAAGCGCAACCCTCGTGCTTAGTTACCACTGTTGAGTTTGGAACCCTGAGCAGACTACTGGTGATAAGCCGGAGGAAGGTGAGGATGACGTCAAGTCATCATGCCCCTTATGCCCTTGAATCTACTGCTTGGTGTTATTCTTGTTGATGTGGATTAAAGAAATTTGTACTCCTCAGTATTTCATGGGTTTTGACTACTGATTGTGACTTGATTGGTCTTGTTTATGTTTCGGCGAGTTCAAGCCGGTTTAGTATTGTTTAATTTTGTTACTTAGGGTTATAGGCTTTGATCTGATTTGTAAATGTTTGGTGTTGCATGTTTAATCTTTGTTTTTGGTTGTTTGGGAGACGTGTAAGAGTATGGAAATCAGTTAGTGTTGTTTAATTTTGTTACTTAGGGCTATAGGCCTTGATTTGATTTGTAAACGTTTAGTTTTCTTGAGTTGGTCGAAGTAAAATTACTCGTGAAGTGGAGAATTTTATGATTTTTTTTATATATAATTAATTGATATCTATTTATTCTAAGAAATTTCCATGAATCCTCCTGGAAGGCTATTGGTATTTTCTTTTCTCCTCTTTGAACAGCATTTGAACAAGTAATATGTTTGGCTCAGGTTTAAAAACAAATTCAAATAAATAATGTTTAACAAGGGTATTAATTATTCACACAACGAATTGCAAGGAATAATACATGCTAGAAATAGCATTGAGTTCACCAAATAATATTATAATGTTCACTTATGATTTTAGTTTTGGTGCCGTTTGGGTTACTGTGTATTGTAGTTATATCGACTTTGACCAAATTAATTTCTAGAATTTGCCAAAAATAGGGGCCATGTTGGATATTGATATTTGAAATTAAGAATTTCTAGAAATTCTTGCAAACTGCAGCCGGCATTTTCTTGAATTAGCCAAAAAAAAGGAGCCATGTGGGTTGTGAACAAAATTGGCTTATTGGAAAGCACTAATATTCTCTTTGTTAGTCATTCATCACTGCGTGTTTGGTCCCCTTTTTTTCTTTTTGGCCTCATTTGGTTGAGTTGAGTTTTGGTAGGTTGGATATTAATGGTGAAATAAAGAAGCACAGAAAGTGGAGTGGGAGTTTTTAAAACTCTTGGGAAATAATACAATCTGCCATTTTCTGTATTACTGCAAATTATGTCTATATTTGCAGACTAGCTGTATCTCCTACTCCTATCAGGAAATCTGGGGAACATTTATTCCCACTTTGTAAATTGTAAACAATTAATCTGCAGACTATTCTCTCTCTTCTTTAACTAGAAATTTGTATATGTAACTTGAATGTTGAATATTATAATAAGGACGAAAATAAAAAGCTTAAGAGTTGGTTGACCAGCTTAAAAGTTGGTTGGATGTGAAGGAGAATGAGCAGAAGAAGTAAGTTGGATTTATTGCTATTATTAATCAAACTTAACGTTCTGCGAATAAATAGATTTATGTGCATACCCTGTTTTTTTCTGGTTTTATTTGCTTTGTTTTTGGCTCTGTTTTGGCTCCCCTTGCTTTGACCTGCTTTGGGTTGAGTTGCTTGTAAAGGATTAAACCCATTTAGCTATCAACTTTACTTGAATCCTCGCTATGTAGCTATCAACTTTACTTAAATTACTCATCTCTTTAATTGCACAATTTATTCTGGATTTTTTTGTGCTGGCAGCTTTGGGCTTGTTGATGATGAAATTTGATTGAACAGAACATTCTACAATATAAAGTCTGCAGTTTGCAAAACTTTCAAACTGCAGTCTGCAGTCTACTGCAGTTTTGCAAAACTACACTCTGCAGTCCACTGCAGTTTTGCAAAACTACAGCAAATGTATGTATTGTTTATTTCCTAATTTTGGAAATGTATGCATTCGGAATCAAAAGCATCATGTAAAGAACAATTTTTTATAATTATGTCACATTTTTTGTGCAGATGAGTGTGGCGGAAGCCAGAAAAGAGTGTCAAAGTCAATATGGGTGGATGAAGGAAGAATTGGATAGATTAGTAGAGCAACTAATGTCGCAACGACAGCAACAACCTGATGAGGAATAACTGGTAAAACATTCTTTGAAGCTAATCAAGAAAATCTGAATTGTAAATAGAATGTTGTTGAAGACAAAGAGATTGCGTTTAGGGTGGATAAACTTTAGCTCGAAGTAGAAGGGATGGAAGCAAACAAGAAACTGTGACAACATTGAAGATTCTGGATTATAGGAACGAACAAAGATGTTTGCAATTTTGTTTCTTGTTTCACTCTTTGGGAATTTTGAATCCTGAAACTTAGAAGATTCTGTGTTAGTGGGTAAGTAGGAATTGTAATGTCAACGCTCTTTGTTAATAAAGAAGTGCAGTTTGATTTGGGAAACTCAACTTTTGTTGTTTTCTTTGTTTGTATGGTGAAGTGAAAATGAATCAGGGTATTATCATGAAGACAAATTAGCAGGGTTGATTCATAAATTGGGGTTACAGTTAATAATCATATTATCAACCCAATTTTTCGTCCCCAATTCACTACACCATCAGGGATGAAATTTTTCGTCCCCAATTCACTACACCATCAGGGGCGAAATTTTTTGTCCCCAAATCACCACACCATCAAGGATGAAAAATTTCATCCCCAATTTACCACACCATCAGGAACGAAGATTTTCGTCCCCAATTCACCACACAGAAAAAGACAAAAATATTTGTCTCCAATTATCGACCCAATCCCCAATTGTGCTATTTTAGGGACGAAACAGTTTTATTTGAGATGAATAGATATTCTTTTGTGGACAATAAATTTTGTCACAAAATAAATAATCTTTAATGACGAAACTATATTTCATCCCCAATGGCGTGACTTTCAGGATGATTTGTTTTTTCGTGGGTATTACCCTTTGGTAACACGGCTTTGGGGACAATTTGGTCTGTCGTCTCGCATTACTTTTTAGAACGAATTTTTCACTTTCTGTGACAACAATTTTCATCCCTAAATTTTAAATTTCTTGTAGTGACGGATGATGGTGCATGTGATCTTTAGACTTGAGATAATTTGAATGCCTTGTGCACCAACTAGTGTAGTTTGACACTAGCCCAACGTAGTTCTATTTAAGCTATCAGAACGGTAGTGATTGGCTACATCGAGAAGTGTATCAAGACTATGGTGGATCGACAAAGGATTCTATAGAAACCATCTCATGGAAAGCGCGGAATAATCACAAAAAATTTCTTGCCATGGCACAATTCCGTTACCCAAGATCACGATTTTGACTAAATTAATCAACATAAAATTAACCATACAAGATTATGTGATTTTACCTCCGTTGATGGCTCCTCTGGATCCTTCAAACTAGTCACTATCAATCCAACGTAGGAGTAAGTCTGTCAGTATCCACACGAAGGTAGGCTTGGGATCACCCTAGGATTGATTACTAGATCAATCGGAGGGCTTAAGGGAGGTGGTGGATTAGAGAGAGAGAATTTCTCTCTCTAGGGTTGGTAGCTAGGGTTTTGGGAGAGTTAATTTTTATTCTTTAATTCAAAAATTAACTTTATGAATATCGCTCTTTTAAAATAAACCTAATGTCCCTTTATATAGACAATCTCAAATAAGAGTTCAATAAGGATTGTGAATCCTTAAATAGGATTACAATCCTTATTAGAATTGGATTGTAATCCTTGATATAAAGGAATATAATATCTCTTAAAGATATTGTCCTAAATACGAATCCTAATTAAATAAATATTCCTATTTATTTAATTCCTATATAAATACATATTCTAATTAAATAAATATTACTATTTATTTAATCCATATAAATTTATCATATTTAATATATGGCTTTTTATATATATTTAATTAAATTAAATATATATTCTCCATATTAATTAAAATTAATATGATTCCAATTTTGCTAAAAATTCTCCCAATAAATTGTATAATGGTGTCAACCTCTTAGCAAAATTACCAAAGTACCCTTTTTGCCTATAATGACGAAAAGGCCCCTGGACTCCCAAATTACCGAAATACCCTTTTTGGCCCAAGGACAAGATTGTCCTTCTATTTCTATTTCTCACTTAACTACCTTCTATGTGTGTGACCTGAAGACTCTTCACTTTGCCGGTAGTGTTGTAATATACTCTCTAGCTAGTAATTCTTCGAGAAATATATGATAAAATCCACTAAATAACTTTTGTAAACATATATACATAGAGGTATATCATGTAAAATCCGAAAATTCTAATTTTAATTCATATAAATATATACACAAAATAATTGATATACTTTAATAAGTACAAGGTAGTCTTGGAAAATGCCGCCAAACTCCTTCGCTTCTTGACGTCCTACCCGATCGTAAATCATCAAGTACCTGCAAAACAGTAGAATAACGGAGTGAGCACTAATTGCTCAGTAAGTAAACCAAATTGCACTACTGTTTTTCCTCCATTACTCGAGTTTTGATTTTCCTTTTCTCACTTTAATCTTTGATAATATTCTTCTTTCTTTTCTGATATTCTGCATTCTTTTTTGATACTCTGATTTGCTACTTATCAACATGCAAAGACAATGAATAAAACTATACATCGTTGAGCACATAAGAAATACTGAATCATGTAAATAGCATAATACATATGCAGAATAATAAACTGTCTTGAGAAAAGAACTTTCTTTTCTTTTCTGTTTTCTATCTCTTATGCTGTATCTCTTTCTTTTCTTCTCAGTTTCTCTTTCTTATTCTGTTTCTCTTTCTTTTATGTTGTGGTTTTCTGATTGGACTAGGTTGAGGCATGGATTTGGAACCCTGGCCATGTGAGTGTATACTGGGTATAGTCCTCATCTACATGCACTGCTGACAGACTATACAAATGTTGTATCTCTCTTCTAAGGCCACTCACTGATGGTGGCATGCATGTGGGTATCTCGGTCACTCACGGGTTCCCCATCACAACAACCTTATAACATAACATGTTGTAGAAAGAGAATAGAAAGAGATACTATATACATTTCCAAATAAATTTCCAAGCTATGGAAATTCTACACTTGCATTCTTTAATAAATGAGAAAAATACATATTTGCATGTTAGCTTAAAAGAAAACTACAAGCCATTTTCTTTTATTTCTTTTTCTCATTCTTTGCTAACATATTCTTTAATATTCTCATTTACCAAATCAAGGCAATATATATAAATCATATGCACAATATATGCATGATCAAGCCCATTCTTTGATGTTCTTTCCAAGTTCACATACACAACCTTGAAAATTCATTATGGCATAATGATATGTCATGACATATTCTGCCATTCTCTACTATCACAAATGTCATATCAAAGTAACACTTTAACATGCAGTTCTTTTCTCACACTTTCATGTGCTATGCAAGAAGTAGTAAAGGTTCAAGTAACAAGAACCAAACACTAAGGGCCATTTCCCTCATGAAACTAACATGACCAAGTGATATTCTAAATTTTGGCATAACAATATGCACTCTTGAATACTAACATTTACACTTGGTTAAGCCCAACATAATCTTTCTACTTCAATTCTTGTCTTTCTCTAACCCTTTCTTCAATAGGGTTTAACCAACTCATGCATGCATTTTCTCTTTGGAATTTCATCAAACACTTCATACACAAATGAAACTACTATGTTGGCTACACTTACATCTCTCTAAATCCACCAAAATTTGAGCAAAAACTCACTAATTATAGCCTTAAACCTGGCCGGTTTCTACAATTCTCAACACTTCAAAATTTCAACAATAATTCTTCCATAACTTCACCAAATCACCACATACTCATACACTACTTCTCATGGCTAGAAATTACACATCATTCAACATCAAAAACATACAATAATTCTCACATACAATCACATTCAAACATGCAAGAATCATTCTATACAAGTCTTGCTCAAATCAAGGCTAAAATTGGGTTTACTTACCTTGAGTGTGTGATATAACCTCCCTTTGATAAAAGTCTCTTCCTCTTAGACCTAGATCATATAAAAACCATAAGAATTTAAAACTTTAATCACACACCTTGTGCTAGAATCTTGCCTTTGGATGCTTTAGGATTGAAAAGCTACAAGAATTTAAGCCAAATCCTATGATTTCCCTTTGGAATTTGGTGAAGAAATTTGAGAGAAAAAGGGGTGAGGGTGGTGTGTACAAGGGCTGAAAAATGGGTTAGGGTTTCTTCTAATGAAACCTTATATCTAATATTATATACATGTATTCCTATTTTTCCCTTGCACTTTGTAAGAAATCCTATCTATATCCTTTAGTCAATTACCACAATACCCTCATTTCTATAATCTTCTTCACATTATCTTGCTTCCTTTCACTCCCCACTTTTTCATCTAATTATGAGTGAAAAGACCATTTTACCCCTAATGAAGTTTTAAGGAGTTTTCTTCACATTTGTCTAAGGTAACTTTAAAGAAATCCAACTAAGGGTATTAGGGCATAAATAAAATTACGTACCTTGATGTGGGTGTTACAAGGGAGTTTTACAATACCTTGCATTATTGGTTCACTTTTATTTTCCAAGGTTTTATGTGATTTAGGTGTTAGCATTAATCTAATGCCTTTATCTATTTTCAGGAAATTGGGACTTGGGGAACCAAGGGCCACCACAATATCTCTACGGCTGGCTGATAGATAAATTAAATGTCTAATAGGTATTATGGAGGACGTGCTTGTCAAGGTAGATAAGTTTATTTTTCCTGTAGATTTTCTTGTGTTGGATATCGAAGAAGATGTTAAGATACCTCTCATTCTAGGACAACAATTTTTAGCCACAGGTAAGGCATTGATTGATGTGTAAAGATGTGAGTTAATTCTTAGGGTAGGAGATGAAAAAGTAACATTTGATGTTTTAAAAACTATGAAACACCCTTTAGAAGATAACACTTGTTTTAGAATCAATGCTTTTGATCCTTTGGTTCGTGAGTATTTTCAAGATAACAGGTATGAAGATCCATTGGAAGCTTGCTTGGTTGATTCAAAAGACGATGGAGGGGAAAATAGGAACTTAATTGAGACTGTAGCAAGTTTGGAGGCAAATCCACCTTATAAAAGGGTCGTGCGACAAAAATTTGAAACATTAGAAATGCCAATATTGTCTCAAACAAAGCCCTGAACTGAAGAGCCACCAAATCTTGAACTGAAACCCTTACCTACTCATTTAAAATATGTATTTCTTGATGAGTCTTCTTCTTTACCTGTTATTATTTCATCTTCCTTGACAGGTTTGATGGAAGAGAAATCATTAAGGGTGTTGAAGGAGCATAAAGGAGCATTTGGCCATGGCAATAGCTGACATAAAAGGAATAAGTCCTTCGATTTGCAATGCACAAAATTCTCATGGAAGACAGCTACAAGCCGAC